CTCATTTCAAATTGTTTTAATGTTTGATGTGATGTCACTGGTATATGTAAGCTTAAGTTAATATTGATTTTAGTTGAATATTCTAAATATTTTATTTGGGATCATCTCTGACTTTGAAAGTTACTGTTCCTGATCACCTGAGATTTAAGCTTTTTAGATGAGATTAGTATTTTGCAGTTTAAATATATAAAAAAACATGCAGTTACTTAGTGGACTCGGCTATATACATTTCATCAAGAATTTGGTTTCAATTTAGAATATGGCTTATATATTTTGATAGAATTGTTTTAAAACCATAGATTCTGAGATGCTACTTGTTTTGCTTTGATTTATATTGATCACTTTTATTTATATAATTTTTTTTTTATAAGCAACTTGTTACTTGCTCCCCCACTTCCTTAGATATGATGATCTGAAAATTTTTATTTTAAAAGTTGAAGTGGTGAACTAAATTCACTGCAGTCACTAAATGAACAAAATTAGTCTCTTTTTGCTGGGATGTGCTTGTGAATTATTCAAACTCTTTACAAATTGCAAATCCTTAAATGTATTTAATATATTGCCTAAAGTTTTCTCATATATATATATATATATATATATATATATATATATATATATATATATATAATTTTTTTTTTTTTTTTTTTTTTTAAGTAAATACTTTTAGAATACAGTAAAAATGAAAAATAATCAACTTACCCTAAGCCATTTGTTAGTTCTCAACAAAACCTATTGATGTCTGTTATGCAATCATAATTATCTAGATATTTAAAAAAAATGAATTTTAAGCAAATTTTTAAATTGTCACATAACAGGTTTTAAAATAGATTTTTCAAGCATTGTTCAAACAAATTCTTTATGAAAATATTTTGATTATTTCCCTATCTAATACCATTTGGACATTATCACTTTCTACATTGACCACATGTTTGGCTTCCATTTACAAAGTTAAATTGTAACCATCAGTGTCGGTTTTGTTTCATCCAAACATTTACAAAATGATTTGGGAACAGAATATTCATTCAGCAATTGTGAAATTTATTTTGTTAGCTAAAAAAAAAAAACAAATACTGTTTCTATCTTTGTTCCCACTTTCACATTGTCACCACCCTCACATTGTCACCACCCTCACTTAATAAATAAATACCCACACACACACACACTATTGTAATTTTTCTCCTTCCACTCCCTTACATTCTCTTACTGCAGGTATTTCGTACAAGTGATCTATGTCTCCTTGATCAGTAGAATGAGCCTTCCCAAAATTGCCAAGGTTTTCTTGCTAGTGTTTAGTCATGAATAAATCCATATGATTTGCTGCTGTTCTCTCTCCTTGGTATTAGAAATCTCATCTGTTTACCTTATCACAAGCAATCATGTAATTAGTCTCTTCGTTTCATAACAAACAATTTTTCTTCTTTCCTATTATGATGCCGCAATTCAACTTTGTCTATTTTTATTTTAAAATATTTTTTTAAAAATAATTCTAAATGAAAATAGATTGGTTCTCATTACATTAGTTTCATGTCTTAGAATCTCAAATATTTTTACCTGATTGTTTCTCTTCTTTCAATTCTTGTTCTTGTTTTACAAAAATAATGTAAGCAGCTTTGTTTTGTAAAATCATTTGTTACAAAGCAATATTTTCTTTTTAAGCAAATTTTGATTCAGAGATTTGAGGAAGTGATGAGGGTTTAATTCTTGTTTTAGTTTTAAAGAATGGCTCATTTTCTTAACTTTCTATCACTGTTAACTACAAATTATTTAAGTTCATTTTAGCAAATCTTTAAATAACATTTTCTTGTCCAGTTTTTAGTGACTGCTTTTTTTCTTTCAGGAAATTAAATCCAAAACTATTCACGTTTAGATATCAAAATCTTTTGATCTTTTTAATACTATTTACTATTTTTTACAAGTAGATCTAACTTCAGAATTATTTTCTTTCCAGCTAAATAACTAGTGACTGAAGAATATAAACAAAATGTTTAGTTGTCAGTGTAGTTCGCAGAAGTGATCCCTCTTGTAGGGCAGCAACATGCATAGTGACTTAAAGCATCTCCACCACAATCTGAGATCTCTTAGGTTATTTTGTTTATAAGTCTATGAAAATGTGGAAACTTGTTAAGATTCTTTCTAAAAACAATTCTATTTATGTGTCTTGTTTGGATTTAAAAAGATGAGGAGGGAAACTATTCTTTTTGGTATCAATAAATTTTCTAATCTTACAATGGTTTTAAATCCAAATGATATGGACATTTTACAATTTGTTGAAAACTAAAAATGAAGTAAGTCAATTTTCTCTTTTTCTCTCTCAGATGTTTATGGATCTCATCTGTTATGGGTCAGTTTTGTATTTATTAACAAAAAAATTAAGTGATAAGGGAAAATATTCAGAAATAATGTCCTGAAAATTAGTAGGGAAGAGTAAAAGAATGGGTGTTCAGATTAAGCGAGTTGTGGAATTTTCCTGCTGACACCATTCCTCTTGAAGTTGCTATGACAACAAGGTAACCTGATGACAATTCTGGATGCATTGTAGCAGGGACAACAGCTAGAGTAGTTTTAGCCTCATTTTTTAGTGCCCACTACCCTCACTCCCTCCTGTAGGCAGAGAGCATGGAAATGTGGGACAGATTCAAGAAAAAAGGTAGTAGTTTGTAGTGTCCAAGTGTGAGTGATATATTGCTCACAGGAAGATATTGAGAAGTCCTCTGCTTTAAACCTACATTGCAAAATTTAACCAAATATCAGATTTATTTATTTATTTATTTGAAGGGCTTGGTCAAATCAAGAATTATTCTTGTGTATGCTGCTACCCAGGGATAGACCACTTTTTTCTGCAACATACTTGCTATTGATATTAAGTGTCTTTGATCAAGATACTAATAGTATTGAAGTCAGTCACTTCTCAAGTTAGCCTTTGTGTTCGATATTGCCTCACTCTTGCAGTAGTTTTCTGTGAAAATTTGAAAATAGAACATATGAACTGCAGTTGTAGAAGGAAAGGCTGAATTAAAAAAATGTAAAAAAAAAAGTTCCCCACTGAATTGATGATTTTACAGCTTGTGAGAAATCAATAGGAGTGTTGTTCCAGTGCTTGCTGTTGTTGCTACTACTACTACCTGTGTTTTTTTCTCTTCTCACTAGTCAGGCAATTTAAGTGCAGGTACCACCCTCAATGTACTCCTATACTCTTTTCTTGCTCTCTCTTCTTGATTAGGAAAAAGAAAAAAAGAGGTCAGTTTAGGGCTCTCCCCACCCTCTCTTCCCTAAGTTTTTCACTGTATCTACTTTATCCCATACCTAATTTATGTTGCCCTACTTAGCATAAGTTTGCCTATTGCCCATACCTGCTTAAAAAGCTGTGTGTAGGGGGAAGGAGTCATTGAAGCACCTTCTTTCTCCCACCCACTTACTCTCTTTTAATTCTCTTTGGGCTGACATTTTATATTTCCTTGATTCTATTAGGAAAAATTAAAGACTTGTAAATTTGAGCAGAAATTTATTGAACTAGTTATTAGTGTTAGACAAAGCATAGATTTAAACGAGTCTCTGCATCACCTGTCAGATGGGGGTAGTTAGTGATTTGCAATTTCTGTATATTTTTTTTAACTATTCACAGAACTTATGAAGAAAAATATATTTTTATGTAGTTTTTTTTTTTTTATTATTATTATTTTTATGTGGGTGTAACCCCCCCACACACACACATATGCTGGCACCAGTATTCCACTGGCCCTCCCTCTTTTAGCTCAATGAGGAAGGTGCTGCTGTAGTGTTGGAATCCCTGAGATATGTAGGGATGAGTAGCATTGAAGTGTTACACTATTTTGGTAATAGAAGAAATTTAGCAACACGTTTTTCACACATGGTGTAGGGTCATCCTGCTCAATCCTTTTATTTTCAAACTTAATGGATTGTAAAAAGTTTTATCTTCCTATGTGGATGAGACTACAATTTTAGATGCACAGATATTTTATCAATTAGATTCTTAACATATTACTCACTTATGGTATTTTACATTTTAAACCCATATATAATTAAATTTTCTTAACTTTTGTTTGGAAATTGGATTTGTAAAGTCTCATAAAGTCTGTAAGTTCAAGATTAAACATTACATGAAAATTTCCATTTTGAATGACTTTGACTGTTGATTTTTGTATATATCTAGACAACCTGCCACTCTTCTCCAGCCTTTACTGTTCTATTGTAAAATTGCTTGATAGAAATGAGTTTGATTTAAAACCTTTAGTTTTGTTTGTTTTTACTTTTAGTGATTAGCAGATAGTGAGGTGGTATTTAACTCCTTAAGTGAGTGGTTGTTGATCATTCATTAAAACTTAAAGAAACTTCACTATATATATATATATATATATATATATATATATATATATAATATTTTTATTTTATTTCTTTATTTTTGCTACCCTCATCCTTGTTGAGCATTCTCTTTGGAATTGAAATTTACCAAAAAAAAAAAAAAAAGAGCACTATTTCAGAATTTTAAACCATTTAATTTTATATTGAATATTTGCACAATTTTTGTATTAGAAAATGTTGGTTATAAATTTTTTGATTTTATCTAGAATTTTTTTATATTTGTCTAAATGAAGAAGCAAATCTTGTTGAAAAAACATTCAATATCGTTCTCTATATTCCTCTTGAGTGAGCATTTATATATGAAAGCATTAAGTTTTTCCAATCAAATTATCCAATGTAGGTCTCATATGATCACACCTTTTATAATGGCTCAAACAGTTATTAATATATAAAAAATGTTACAATATCCTTTAATTAAATGACTGTCCATATTCAACATCGATTAACTTCCCATAATACAAAAAACATTTCAACAACTTCAGAATAAGAAAATTTAACTAAGTATTTTGACTTCAAAATATTTTTATTTTCCCAACATTTTTTATAATTGAAGAAGAAAAAGTTGCTAACAGTTGATGAATTGAAATTTTTGCTTGACTGGATTCTGTTTGTTTGTGTAGAATGCAGCAGCGCCAAGTCCACTGGGTCAAATGCCACCTCAAGATGGGATGCCAGGAGGTCCGATGCCAGGTTTCTTTACTGTAAGTCAATAATATTCCTCTTTTACTTTTGACTATCCTCACTCCCTGTCCTAAAATCGAGATGTAGTTTTCAATGCAATCATATTTTATTAGAACTTTGTGAAACTTAGAATTGCTATTCGCTCACATTTATTTTAAGTAACCGTTTAAGTTCGGAAGTGTTCAAATTTTTTTTTTTTTTTTTTTTTTTTTTTATATCTAGGTAGTTATTAGTTTCTATCTCTCTTATTTCAAGAGCATATTATTTGAAATCTATTTAATTTTGACAATTTGCTTCCATCTTTAGACAATTTTGAGAGTGTTTGTCAATCATATGTAGGAAAAGGATTTTAGTTTCAACTGTTTGTGAGCCAAATTTTGCAATTTAAAATACTTTTTAAAGTAAATTGATTGCTTTTTTTTTTTTCTTTTTTTTTTCTTTTTTTTTCTTTTTTTTCTTTTTTTTTTAAATTCAAAATGTAATAAAATTGTTTTAAAAATATACAAGTGTATATTTTTATTTGTGTACAATCCAGTTGGTGGTTTTGTTCAAATTTTGATTCTGAGTCCCATAATATTGCAAAAATTTTAGCTGACACAATTGAATGTATTATCTAAGAGTGTTGAAGAACTTTGTCTTTAGTAGAAACAAGTTTTCTATGATTTTGCTCATTTGGAATTGGTAGTGGGACATAATCATATTAGATAATCACACAAAGGGGAATAACTTATCCTCTCACTAAATGCCTGGTAGTTTGTTTTTTTTTTTTTTTTTTTTTTTTTTTTTTTTTTTCCCCTTCCTTCAGTGAATGTTTCATATAAATTGGGTTTTAAAATTAGAAGTCTGGCAGGTAAAGAGATATTGTGTAGATCTTGAAAAATATTATCTTTTATTCATTGATAAGAATGAAATTGATGCATCCAGTTTTGTTTAGATACTTTATTGATCTCTTGATGTGTGTGTGTGTATATATATATATATATATATATATTCTTTTATTTACGGGAATTTACCTTTTATTATTAATATAGCTATAAACAGTTTATCTAATTATACTGGTATCTCTGGAAAGTACAGAACTTTTGTTTTTTTTTTTAATATTTGCATATATATTCCAGTGGCTTACTCTTGTTTTAATTCGCTGAAGGTGGCATGTTATTTCAACTTTGTTTCACATAGTTTTAATAAAAATATAATCCTATTTTTAATATTGTTAGTAATATTACACAATGATGTGCACATACTGAGAATATGAAACAAAAGTTAAATTCAATTATATTATGACATATAGGATGAATACTACTTATTCATCTGCTGAAACCTGTACATGAACAATCGATAAAGTTTGTGCTTGGTAACTTTAGCTTTCTACCAACTTATTAAATGAAATTTAAAGTCCTCTCGTGTGTGTGTGTGTGTACACACACACACACACATTTTATTTTGTATGTGCAGTACTTAGTGGAAAGTGCTCAATATCATTGATAATTAACATATTCAGTTGTATGGAGATTAGTTTGTGACCCTGGGTTTCATGCTTTTGCAATATCAGGCAAGATGATATCACAAAGTGTGAAAACCTGGGTCACACACTCATACCCATACAACTGAATAAATGGGAGCCAGGATAGTCCAAGACAGAAATTGTAAGATCTTTCAGCAATCACATATTTTTTAACTGTATTAAGCTTAAATAGCTTTAAATGGTGAGAAACTAATAAAAAAAAAAAAAAGAGAAAAATTAAAAAATTTAATCAGATTTTTATTGTTAATCAATGCTATATTCATTTTAGCTCTGATTGCTGTTTTTATAATAATTTTGAAACTTTTTTTTTCATAACTTAGACATGCATACGCTACAAGGACTTTTTTTTTTTTTTTAAGTCAAAAGTTTCTAAAAGTATTTGCCTCTCTTGTCCTACATTCATTGCTTAAACTTTTACAGTATATCTACTAAGCAAAGTGCAATGCACTTTGTCACTTTGTGCATAAAAAAATAATCATTTTTATAAAGATATAACAATGTAAAGCTGATTTTTATGGGGGTTTTTATGGTTTTTTTTTTTTTTTTTTTTTTTAAGTTTGCAAAACAGCTGGATTTTTTTTTTTATAAGTTTGAGGGTTGTTAAACCAAAGCTTCACACATTCTGTGTAGTTTTTTATTTTACATATGTACATTTAATATTAAAAACTCTGCTTTTTGTGGTATTGATACTAATTTGTAGGTGATTTGCAATTTATATTTTTTCTATTGGTGATTCTAATCAATTGAATAAGCCTTTCACTGAGTGAAATTGTTTTTAAAATGTTTAACATTTTTGAGAACTTGTGGCACCTGCCTTTTTCCTTTTTTTTTTTTTTTTTTTTTTTTTTTTCTTCTTCTTTCTTTAATTTTTTATTCAATAAATTTCAACATGAACTATTGTTACAGTACTAATAGATCTACTCCCCTCTTTCTCTCTTCTCAAAGTGTCTTTTCATTCTCTAACAAACTTTAAGTTGCCTAAGTTTTTATTAAAATCATGTTTAATTTCAACACTTAAAATATTTATTTTCTAGCTAATATCTTTTCCCCTCTCAGCTAATTGGGGGGGGGGACTAAATGTTTGCAGAAATAATTTAAGGGAAAAGTTGGGGAGTAATTTTATTTTATTTTTTTTTCTTTCTCTAACACTTTCAAAAAAAAAAAAAAAAAAATATATATATACATCAATTTTGGGGGAATGTTCTCAACTTGGCTATTCCGTTGGTCAGTCGGTCATCTGCATGCTTTCTTTGTTTCCCTTAATTTGTGAAGCAGGCATGTTCTTTGTTGCAGTTGCTTCTTCTAGCTCCCAAAGTTTTGTTGCAACACTTTGCTGAACTATGCCTTTATATATTAGACTTGAATGTGGAAGGAGCCCCTCTTGACTTATGTTTATTTTTTTTTTATTTTTATTTTTTTTTCCTATTTTATTGAAATTTCTTGATAGTATCTATTCCACTTGTTTGATATTCATTTATATTAGATTTTTTCTAGCAATTGGTTTACTTGAAAATGTGTGTATGTTTTGAAACTTGTAGAAATACAATGAAATAGATATTTATTTTCCTTCAGGGATTAGACAAGTAAAATTTTGAAAATTTTATTTTGAATTAAAAATTAACTCTGAAGGCAAATTGGTAGATTCATCTTAAATTTATCAGAAAGATGTTCTCATCTGTGAGATTTTTTTTCCCCCTCCTTTATAAAATGACTGTACTGTTTTATCTGGATAAAACCTGCTGATCAGTGCCACAAACCCAGCTTGGATGGGTATATTAGTCTGAATAAATGGATATTAATAACATTTGCTTTGTAATTTATAAGAATTTTTGTTTGTGAGCATTTCAAGATTCTAAAGTTTCATTTTCATCCTTAAATGTACTTCCCACCTTTTTTTTTGTCTTTCTATTTAAAAATTAAACAAACAAAACAAAAAGCAAATTGTGTGCTCAGACATAAGATAGAATGCAAGACAATTTAAACTTATCAAAATGGCTTTGTGAATTGTGTAAATTTTTAAACAAATTGTATGTCATTTTGTTTTAATGTATATTGATGGATAACAAAAATTTATATGAAGTGCCATTTGATTGTTAGTTTGAGGTTTACAAAAGTTAAGCTACAATTAACCATGTAAATGTTTTAATTCAGTAGATTAGCTATTTTTCTGAATTATTTTAAAGTGTTTAATTATTTTAGAAAAAAAAATATAATAAATATGTTAGTTCTGTTGTAATATTCGATAACAAATGCTGAATAATTACTTTGGATTAGGCCTTGCTGATTAATGTGATTAAATGAGTAAAACCTGGCTGTTATATATATATATATATATATATATATGAATTTCATTTTTGTCTCATTGACCAACCTGAGAAGAAAGTGTTTAGTTGATATTTTGTGGTCTTTTGATAGATGGCTTTAGAAATTAAGTAGAATAAAATTGAGTGAGTGTTTTCTCTAGTGCAGTTGCTGCTGCTTGTCCATTGGTTTGTATCATTGTGGCATCATCATCTTCATCACAATCAAATGCTTCCTCCCCTCCACAGCCGCCAGCATCACAGCCGTCCCCCCACCCGCAGCCTCACACTCCCATGATGGGACAGAACCAAGTGAGTATGGACCAACTCCTCCTCATCCTACTCCTACACCTACTCCTGCTCCTAATGTGACTGTCAGTGTGCTAGTTTGTATAGTTACGTGTGTGTGTGTGTGTGAGAGAAAATGGTTGTGTGTGCCATACATGCAAGTGTATAGATGTGAATTGTTGCCATTTATTTTAATCCTTTTTGTTTGTTTTTTTCCTTTTATTTCCTTTATTTTTTTTAGTAAATTTTATAAATTTTTAGTTTGGTTAATTTGTCTGCTTTGTTTTGCTGCTTTACTTATTTCTGCCTTGTTGTCTTTGTCAGTCTTCCTTGTAGTTACTCAAACTGGCTGCTTTGTAGTCCTTCTGCTTTAGGAGTACTACTTACTCATTTGTAGTTCTTCATTACCTCATACTATCACTTAGGGTAACATTAAACTTTCTCTAGGAGTTTTGCTTTTCTATTAACACACCTTTCTATCTTTCTACACAAGTACACATCTATTTTTCTTGTCTCTCCCTTCAAATTCAAGTAAAAAAAAAAAAAAAAAAATAATATGTCCTCAAATTGCTGCTATTGGTGTTGTTATTGACTGTAATTTATTTATTTTTATTTATTTTATTTTTTTTGTATGGGCAGTATTTGTAATGACTTGTTTGGTGACAATTTATTATATATTTTTTTATGCAAATTTTTATTACTTAGAAGTGACAATTTAGTTCTAATCTTAATTTTCAGTAACTAAAAGAAAGACTAGCAAGAGTTTCTGTTGCCTCTTATTTTCCAAAACCTGCAGATATACAGAAAGCAGACTTTGGTGGTGATGGTAGGGGTGTAACCATTCAAAAAAGGAAAGAAAAAATCTTTTGTCAGATATTCAGAATAAGTTTTAAAAAGTATTCTTGTCACTGACTTAAAAAAAAAAAAAAAAGACTGGCTTTACAGATACATGTCAATTTCAAAAACATTAATGAAATACATTAATCTGTAAAAGTGTAATTGTTTGATAAATTATTTGTTTTTATTTTTTATTTATGAACATGAAGTTTTATCTTTCCCCATAAATCAAAGAAACTGATTAAAATCACCAATTTTGCAAATTGGATTGAAGACAAAAAAAAAAAAAACAACTTACTATTTTCATTGTTTTGTCTGAAGTTGAAATACTTTTTTGAATATTGTACATGAAAAAATAATTTGTAAAGATATCTTTTTTGAAAAAGTGAATCTGAGGGATTTCTTCAGTAGTCTTCTGTTGAAGTCTTTATTTCAAGTAAATTATTTCGAAGCAATGGTTACCTCCAAGTGTCTCATGTTATTTGTATCCTAGTGCTGTTTGGGTGGGTGGGTTTAGAATAGCCAATTTCAAGTAATATGCTAAAAGAATCATAATCTGTTCGAAATAATTGTCAACATGAAATTAAAAAAAAAAAAAAAAATTTTACTATTTTTTCTTTTCTTAAAAAACCTCAAATATACATATTTCTCACTTACTAGATATTTTTTGTTTTATTATGTTTAATTGAAAGCAATATTTGTTAATTAAACCAATAATTTAGTATAACTTGAAGCATTTGCGTTGTGAATGTTAGTATTTTGTTTCCTACTTCACTTGATATCTGGATATAGGTAATGGGCTTACAAATATAGTACTGACATGCTGTGATTTTCTGCATGCATACTTCACTATTTGCCTGCTTTCTTTTCTTTTAAGTTGCACCCAAATAACTTCTATTTTTTTGACCCTCTATTTTATTTTTCATGTAAGATTTTAATTTAACCAAAAATATATTGGACATCTGTCAAATTGCCTAAGATGTTAATTGTATCTAAGATTTAATTATAGAAATTTGGCAGCCACATTTGAATGTAGTTTCTCAGATCTTTGGATGAAGCATTCACACATTTTTACAATAAAACAATTCTTTTAGCATTTAATAGATGAGTACTTTTCAATTAATGACTTATTGCCTTAGAAGTTTAAAATTGTTTCTTGTTTAATTATATAATAAAGCAATAAAATTAGCAATTCAAAGAATGCTAGGGATTTTGGGAGAATTTTTAGTGACTATTCAGCTTCTGGATAAATTAAATTTTACAGATTATTTTCATTAATTTTACAAAGTGCTTGGGTGTTCAACTTTTTATTTTATATATATATATATATATATATATATATATATATATATATATATATATATATATATATTTCTTTAATATTATACAAAGCCCCATGCTAACTTCAAACATGTTTGATGCTCAGCAACAGCAGTTTCATGTAGTCTTTAATACTATATAAATGGTTTGCTTTTAGATCATTTTAATAAAGAAACGCATTTTTTATATAAGGGAAATGCAAATAAGTTCTGTTCACTCTATTGTATATAATTGGCTCTTGTACCATCTCCCCTAGTATGTATTCAAGCAACTTTTCTGAAATTGTCTGTCATGGTCTCTGTTTAATTTGTTCATTAGCTTTCCAGTTTGAATATAAGCTGTTGCAAATGTTGATCAATTTATAGAGAAACTGTCCAGCAGAGAAGAGTTTTTAATTTCATCTTGTCATTATATACATGTATTGATACAAGTGACATGTATAGAATGGTTTCTAACTATATTTAATGGATATACAGTTTAAATTTACAAAAAGTAAAATTTAATACCATGCTTAGTGTGCCCTTTTTTTTTCTTTTTTTTTTTTTATTATGCATTCCATAAACCTACATTTAAATGAAAACTTGTTTCTCTGTGTGTGTCATATATGTATTTAGCAAATATCTGTACTGAAACAAATTGTTTTAGTTTGTTCACCCATGGGGTAATGTAAAAGGTTGTATAAGTTCTGCTCCTTTCAATTCTACATATTCTAAATAAAACCCAATCCCTGCTTGATTCATTGTGAACAAGACATATTGGCTGTAACCTATGCATTATTTTCTTTGTCCAGTTAGCACTGATAAAACTTGAAGGACTCATTTGTTTCCACTATTTGTTTATTTGAGTAACTCAATTGCCATCATTTTTGCATGTTGAATGTTTGATTTGCACATAAACAACATAGAAAATATACTCTCCTCCTGCTGCTCTCTTTCCTCCTCCTCCTGCTGCTCTCTTTCCTCCTCCTGCTCTCTTTCCTCCTCCTCCTGCTGCTCTCTTTCCTCCTCCTCCTGCTGCTCTCTTTCCTCCTCCTCCTGCTGCTCTCTTTCCTCCTCCTCCTGCTGCTCTCTTTCCTCCTCCTCCTGCTGCTCTCTCCCCCCTCCTCCCTGCCTCTCTTTCCTCCTCCTCCCTGCTGCTCTCTTTTCCTCCCTCCTCCCTGCTCTCTTTCCTCCTCCTCCCTGCTGCTCTCTTTTCCTCCTCCCTCCTGCTGCTCTCTTTCCTCCCTCCTCCTGCTGCTCTCTTTCCTCCTCCTCCTCCTCCTCCTGCTGCTCTCTTTCCTCCTCCTCCTGCTGCTCTCTTTCCTCCTCCTCCTGCTGCTCTCTTTCCTCCTCCTCCTGCTGCTCTCTTTCCTCCTCCTCCTGCTGCTCTCTTTCCTCCTCCTCCTGCTCTCTCCTCCTCCTCCTGCTGCTCTCTTCCTCCCTCCTCCTCCTCTTCCCTCCCCCTCCTGCTCTCCTCCCTTCCTCCTCCCTGCTCTCTTTCCTCCCCTCTCCTGCTCTTTCCTCCTCCTGCCTCTTTCCTCCTCCTGCTGCTCTTTCCTCCTCCTGCTCTTTCCTCCTCCCTGCTCTTTCCTCCTCCTGCTGCTCTTTCCTCCTCCTGCTGCTCTTTCCTCCTCCTCCTCCTCCTGCTGCTCTTTCCTCCTCCTCCTCCTGCTGCTGCTCTCTTTCCTCCTCCTCCTCCTGCAGTGAGAGGAGTTGAGTGCCATAATTCATTTTGTATTTTGATTTTGTTTTGTTTGTTCTCCCCTACTGTACCTGCAGATAAAGAATTTGGTAAGTTGATGTTGGAATGTTGTCTGCATGCTTGCATAATATTCTGCTGATAGCAGCATTCATTTTTTTTTTTTTTTTTTTTTTTTTTTTTGGCTCCTCTTATTCTGTATACAGTTCCGATCTTGTATTTGTTGCTTCCTCTTATTAAAAAGTTGTCATTGTGATTTATTGAACTGTAAGTTGGAATAAACTTTCCAAAAACCAAGGCTAATGATATTCCTAGTTATTCATAAATAATTAATTTCTCACCTAAATTAATGAATAAGACAATATTCCAACAATTAATTTAGAAAGGTATTTTTTAAAAAAAGTAGTGGTAGATAAGTGCTTTTAACAACAGTTCAAGACTAGCTTAATTTCTGCTCAGCATTCACTTTTCTTTTGACCCAATCTGTTAAATATAATTGCAGTTTTAGTAGTTGACACTTTGTAGCCCCAACTTTTTACTCACATGCTTTGCCTTTGGATGTTGTCATTTTCATAATGTTAAGCATGAGTAACACAATTTTTCATTGAAATCTTTGATTATGAAGATATTTAATGCCCTCATTTTGAGAATTAGTGCTTCTAGGCATCATTAATTCTTTTAATACTTAAGAATTTTCTATTACTTATGTAGCATGCTTTATATACTGAATTATATTCTGTTGTGTGTTGAGAAAAAGTTGGTCCCTCCTCTGTCTTTTTCTTCCTCTCACACATTTACACACTTTCATGTGATATAAATGCAATCTCCTGCACATTTTGTTTTAATTACGCAACTCTAAATTTCTAAATTCAAAATGAATTCAAATAAAATGTTTTTAATTTAAATTTTCAATAACTTGCAATTTAAAAATTTTTTCTATATTTTTTTTTCTTCACTTGATTTAAACTGAAATAATTTTTATCAGTAATCTCAGTCCTGTACAATCAAGAAAAAAAAAGCTTTAAAGAAAGGCATCTCTAAATTTTAATGAAACATTTGAAGTCCTATTTACTTTTATTAAAATTTTCAATTTGCTAGTTAGTATTGTAAAACTGAACTATAGAAATTGATTAGATTTATAAAAATTGAGATTAAATAAGTTTATTGCATAATTTTCTTTAAGAAAATCAGTTAATACAGCAAATTTTATATCTGTAGGTATTTTTGATTTTAATGAACAAGTGAAAAGGTTGCTTACCCCTTGCCAATAAGCAAGAACTTGTGAAATTGAGTTGATCTTACTTTGCTGCCTTCATAGGGCACCTACTATAGAGCAGTGGTTAGCAAGCAAATTTTGCCAACTTTTGCTAATTTGTTTGTTTCTCATTAGTTGTTTTATAATTGTGGTCTTGTTTTAAAGTTGGCCCATCCATAAGGTGTTTTTTTTTTTTTTTTTTTTTTTTTTTAAAGGAATTCTGTTATAGAACACTGATCGATAGCAAATTAGTACCCATCTATCTATCTATACCATTGCTTTTTGACTAATCCTTTTTGGGTGCTCCCTGCACTTCATATATTTAGTAAGCTTGGTAATTATCAATTTGCTGGCTTCACAAAACTAAACATAAAAACAATTTTTTAAAATCCTTTTGTGATGTATCTTGTATGAAAATTACTCATCTTTTCTTAAATTTACAATATTTAATCAAACTTGATAAGTACTCCATTTTATGTTCTGAGAAGGAATGAACTAATAATTATTAGTAATGCAAAGGGGTAAGCTATTGTTCTGTTTAGTTATAAAAAAATAACATTTCAATGTTATTTTGACATCCCAATTACCATTATCATTTATTTCAATTTTTGAAAAATATTTTATATCTAATGTTCATTCAATTTTTCTTTCTTTCTCCCCACCCCCTTTATGTATATTTTTAGCCCTTCATGTCACCTAGGTTTCCAGGGGCGCCACGGGGGCCTGCACCAGTTCGGATGCCAAATCAAGTAGATTTTAACGTAAGTAAAGATTGAATCTCTCTCTCTCTCTCGATAATATTAGGATTTATTTCTCTTAGTTATTATGAAGAATATTTTCATTTCTATATTCAGTAAAGAAATTAAGAAGTTCCTGCACTTTTCAAAGCTATGTTTTTTTTTTCTCTTTTTTTTTTTTTTTCTTTTTTTTTTTTTTTCTTTTTTTCTTTCTTTTTTTTTTTCTTTCTCTTTTCTTTTTTCTTTTTTTTTTTTTTCTTTTTTTTTTTTTTTTCTTTTTTTTTCTCTTTTTTTCTTTCTCTTTTTTCTTTTTTTTTTTTTTTCTTTTCTTTTCTTTTTTTTTTTCTCTTTTTTTCTTTCTCTTTTTTTTGTTCTCTTTTTTTCTTTCTTTTTTTCGTTCTCTTTTTTTCTTTCTCTTTTTTTTTCTTTCTCTTTTTTTTCTTTCTCTTTTTTTCTTTCTCTTTTTTTCTTTCTCTTTTTTTTTCTTTCTTTTTTTTTCTTTCTCTTTTTTTCTTTCTCTTTTTTTCTTTCTCTTTTTTTTTTTTTTTTTTTTTCTTTCTCTTTTTCTTTCTCTTTTTTCTTTTCTTTTTCTTTTCTTTCTTTCTTTTTTTTTCTTTTTTTTCTCTTTTTTTTCTTTTTTTTCTTTTTTTCTCTTTTTTTTTCACATATATATATATATATATATATATATATATACACTCTCACAAATTTACCTCGTGAGTATAGACTTTTTTTTTTTTGTGTGTGTGTGTGGGGATCAGTTTTAATATTTTATATTAGGGTCCACTTGAATGATATACAGATTTATTACCTGTACTTATATTATATATATATATATATATATATATATATATAGTAGTCTCTGTTTATTTGTTATTGAACTCCCCTTAAGATTATGGAGATAGTTCCTCCCCCCACCCCATAACTATATATATATTCTGAAACTATATTACCAAGAGTACTTGGATAAGTATATTCATTTTGATAAAGGGAGTCTGGAGGGTGTTACAACCCCCCCCCTGAAATTTTTTCCCTTTTTGATTTAATTTAAATTTGGACAATGGAATGACTTCTATGCAAAATAAAGGAGAAAGCCAGCAGATGGAGGTCACATTAGCAAAATCATCAAGTAATATTGAAATGCATCATTTTCTTACAAAACAAATGTGTGACACATATCAAGGTGTGGATAATTTGGCTTTTTATGTATGTGTCAACTGGTCTAAATGGATATTAACAGGAGGGTGATGTAATGTATGAATTGCCCTAGTTTAATGATCCTTAAAACAAAGCAGATTTAGTGAATAACAAAATAAGATCTGGAGCGAGTGTTTGCTCCCCAGCTACAACCATAGCTGTATAAAATTTATTTAAATTATTTTATTTATTTTTTTTTTTTCCCCCTAACACATTCAGTATTAAATTTGGTATATATTCTAGAAAACATGTTTAGGCAACCCAATTATAACTTTGACAATGCATTTATAATCATGTGTATTTGGCATTTATCAAAATTTTTATTATTCTCACTATAATAACAGCAAGCTACTATCAATATGGACAAACTTCTAAACTGACTAATCTTTCTTTCTACTTTGTCTTTTTAGCCTCCTGGAGGTGCAGCAGGACAGATGTCAATGCCAAACAGTATGGATCCACGGCCAGGTAAACCTATGGTTAATTATTTTTAGCCATTTACACTTTATAAAAAGTTTATTGCCTCACTAAAATTTGGTGATGGTGGTTACTTGAAATGAGATTTTAGTCTTAAGAGTACATCTTTTGGATGAAGCATTTTTTTGATTACTACAATCCGTGTTTTTGTGGTCATACACTGCCGTGATAGTCACAAAAATGATAAAAGGAGTAGCTAAATTGACATTGTTATATAAAAGAAATATTATCAACTTAGATAATTGTGTATATTAGTTTGGGAAATAAGAACAGTTTATGTAACAACTTAGAAATAAATCTCTAAAACACTTTGGTAGCAAAGAGACAGATTTTTTTTTTTTTATACTTAATATTTTTGTAGCAGCTATGCTTTTGGTTTTCAATTGACTACTTCAATGAATTTGGCATTAAACCTATTCCAAAAGGTGTTTTAAAAACAAAGCCAAAGAATTTATTCAAGCAAGTTATATTAAAATTATGATTCTAACATGTTTTCTCATCAAATCTTGTAACTCTATGAAAACAAACAAAATCCCAACTAATGTTGTGGATTATATACTACCTGTATTTATTTTTTGTGTGTTGTATTTTCCTTGTCTGAACTGTCAAAATTAATTTCTCTTTGATTAGGTCATCCTGGTATTAGTCCAATGCAGAGAATGAACCATCCTGGCCGAATGCAGGGCCCCATTACTCCAGTGAGTAGCAGTTATTGTGCTCTTTGATATTTAAGTTTTTCTTCATGCAAATAAGTTTAATAAAAGGCAGTTTGCCAAAATTCAGTTAGCACTTGATAAAAATGTTTCTGCTTAGGTACTTGTTTGGATAAATACGATAGTTAGGTTTCATTTTTTAATTATTTTTTAAGCAAAATTGTCAGGAATGAAAAATTTACAAACTGTAGATTTCGGGAATTTTAATTTTTGGATAATGGTTTCTTGTTTTTAGGTTTATGACTCAATACAGAACTATGGTGGCATAAGAGGTCCACCTCCAAACAGTATGGGTCCAACAGCACCTGGAGCAATGCCACCAATGAGCATGTAAGTAAAGGACTGTTTATTATAATTCTTTTTATTCATAGAAAAACACAGGATACATTTAATTATTTTACTAAATTCATATAACAAAATCTGTCATCTCTTAGTGACTTGTTCACTTAAACTAAATTGATACATTTCAAATGTTCTTGTAAACTGAGCCAAAGTCACTTTTCTTTAAACAATCATTCAGAATCATTGTTGAATATTTGATCTAAGCCTTGGATATGAGAATATGACCATGTTGGAATATATGAGAGAAAATAACCTAATTTAAAACTTCATTTTTAATGGTTTGAACCAAATGAAAAAGATTACATTTCTTTTTTTTTAAATGTGGTGAATGTTCAAGTAACTCTCTCTCTCTCTCTCATAAAGATATATAAATACAGAAAAAAAAAGTTTACTGATTATTAAGTCAGGATTTCAATTGTTTAAGTCAATTTAATTTTTGTATTTTTTTTATTTATTTTTTTTTTTTTTTTTTTTTTGTTCCTTTAAGTTAAAGGAATCATATATTTCTTGTTGCTGCTTTGTTTTATTTCACAATCTATAAAAAATGCTTTGAGTAACTGAACATAATTTCGCTAATTTCTAACATATTTCATACTCTTTTACTTTTAGGCCTGGTGGACAAGGAAACAGACCATGGCCTCCCACATCCTCATCAGTAAGATTTTGCATAACAAATTTATACTTGTATATTTTTGTGCATATTATTTTAAAATCAAACTGAAGACTTTGATGAACTAGAAATTTTTTCTCTAAGCTGACCACTATTTCTAAATGTTTTCTTGTCTTTTGTTACTAATTTCTGAGTTTTATTTAACTTATTGTTATCAACCAACTCTTAAAAATTTAGATTGACTCTTTATGAGAACCTAATGGAAAGTTGTCAGAGGAATCTATTTGAATGTACTTCAGCCAATACTATTTTTGTTGTGATTCATTTAATCAATTTATATTTGATTTCTGTTTAAAAAAAAAAAAAAAAAATCAACTGAAAAATTGCTCACTCAGGATGACTTTAAAAAAAAAAAAAAATGTAACAAGTGATTATTCTCTAGACACCTCCCTCTTTTTTTCTTTACTTTCTGTGAATTGTCATGACTTTGGGAAAGAGTGGAGTGGTTTACTGTAACCTCCACTATTTATAAGTAATGGCTGAGTGGGGAGGATATGGATTCATGCTTTAAGTACAAATTGATTGCAACTACCTAGACAACAATTTAGTCTGCCAATTGATTACAATTTCTGCACCAATAACCATTATTCTAATTATTGTTTTTCAATTCACTTTGGATAAGTGAAAAGTTCCCATTGCACATACAGTTTGTCTGATGTTAAGCAAATCACATAAACCTCAATAACACGAATTTGCTTTGAACCATTTTAGTCCAATTTTAAATTATTAATTTATACATCAAAACAAAGCTTTAAATTTTTACATAGTTTCAACGTTTCATTAATGTTATTGGATTTATTATAACTGTACGTAAAATCATCAGCAATTGATCAACACCTATAACAGAACAAATAACAAACATATAAGTCTTTGAAGAATTTACAACTTAATATAGTGATCCTTTTTAATAACTATTATGCATTGATTTTGTTAAAAAAAATTTTTTTTTACCTCAGCAGGTTCAATTTTTGACACAATGGTTTTAATTGCTTCTGAAAAGCCTGTTTTGCAGTTATATTGTTTGCCATCTTCACAATTGGATTCAGATCGGGATGTGGCCATTTCATTATTTTCTCTCCTGTAAACCTTTTATGCTAAAATAAATTCATGGGTAACTTTAGAAACATAAGGAGCAGCATTGTTGTGCATAAATACACATTTTGCTTTGAAACTGCCAGGCTGTGATTTGTACCAATCAAAGAATGTCTTGTACATGAAATCATAGGCATATCTGCATCAGATAAAATTTCATCCTTTGTCCCATCCAACAGGTCTATAGAGTGCCACTTGAGATTCATCTGAAAATTTCTTTAGAAGATCAATTTTCATGTATTGGTCTAATTTTGACAGTTTAAAATATTTGCTTCACTGAGAGGAGTCTGACTAGGAGATTTCTTGATAGATCTCAATTTGTGAAATATTCTACACCTTTTGTCCTTGACCCTTTTTAATTCAAGCCTGTTCAAAGATCTAAGCACTGATCAAAAGTGGTTGTTTCACTATAACTGGCTTTAGTTATGTTCCCCTTCAGGAGACAAATTCTTAAACCTTTTTCGGCAAATTTTATAATCCAATAACTTTAATAAGTCATGTTGAAACTACTTAAAAATTTAACTGTCATTGTTCATTGTTTTAAAATTTGACAAAAATTGTTCAAAGCAAATTAGTTATGGAGATTTATAATTTGCATAACATCAGAAGGCTATTTTGATAAATGAATGGTGAAAAAAGATTACAATAGCAATCAAGATTTAAATTGTATAAATGTTCTAAATGATAATGTACATAAAGATATAAACAGTATCTTTTAAAATATCCTAAGATCTGATTATTAAGTTTATTGTAGCAAGAAGTGTTCTAGTTTTACATTGAAAAAATAAATGAAATTGTCTTTTATGCTTTCAAAGAGCAAAAACTTGATTGCAATTCTGATTACTTTGTTTTCATATATTTTTTTTATTTTAAAATGATTCATATTACTGTTACATCCACAACTAGATAAATTTGTTGGTCCTTATTTAAGCAGTTTTCCATTTAGTTTAATGCAAATTATTTTCCAATTATCTACATCTGATGTTCAGATTTTAACTTATTGTACATTGAAATTGCATGCATCTGCTTTGTTTCTTGAAGTCTTTTTTCTTTTCAGCTTGTTTTCTAAAATATTTTTGTTTTCTGATTTTTTCCTTCTTAGATAAATTATTCGTCAGCATCACCAGGAAGTTATAATGTAAGTATATAAATAGAATATTTTTATAGCTTCAAATCAGGCATGTTTGTAATGCTTAAACAATTTTTTTTAAATATTAAAATTCTTTGAAATCTTTCTCAGTTTGATTCCTCCTTTGACCTAGCAGAAAAGGTTGCTTTTTGTGATGTGATATTTGAGAGTGGGTATCAAGAATTGTAAAATTTACAAGTTCGGAGAGCAGCAATAAGTAATAATCATCAATCACCCTGTGAGGAGATATATAAAATAATGGAGGCAGTGTGGACTAATGGATAGTGGCTCAGATTAAGGAATCTGAATTTCAGTTAAGGTCATTACATTCATTTACAACCTAATACCTGTGAGAAAGGTATGCATTCATCTCTTCTCACTTCAGCTTTGGGTAAATAGCAGGACAAACTGGGTCTTATAGCCTTGGATAGCAACTGGGCTCAGAAGGACAACTCTGAATTAAAAACCTGAGGATGTTTGTTTAGAGACCTTTGTGGTACACTGTGCACCATTTCTCTGTATTTGACTTTCCAAAAAGTGTGGTTGGTTCTGTGCTGGTAATATTGATGTTTGGTTCTAAGAAATAAGCTACTGTACCCTCATGTCAAAAAATGATTGGAGAGTCCTCCATCCCAGTTGCATAAACCTGAAAAATTTATTGCTTTCACTAATCAGTTGGGTATTGGAGTGAAAATTACAGTCTTTGTGAAAGTATTCAGTGTTGTAACTGTTGCTTAGTGATGTTGAAAGGGTTCAAACAGATGTCACTTCATTTTTATTCCTTTGATAGATTTGGTGGATTGAGTAGTTTTGGCAGTTTCGTATTCAACAAATTATTGGTTTTTGTTATAGTTTAAATTAAACTTGAATTCTAATATATAAATTTCATTTAGAATGCTATAATTTTATTTTATTTTTTAATATTTCATTTTTTATATAATGCAACCTTGGAAAATCTGCAATTAAATAACATTAAATTTATATAAAAGAAATTCTTTTCCATGCTGGTTGCTGTTGCTAATTTAGTATCAGCTTTGACATTAATATTAAACTCTGAATATCTTCGAAAATTGTGCACATACAAAATAGTTAACAAATTCCAAATGCATTTAAATGTTTTTATGACTTTGAAAGATGTCTATGCATATGAATTTATAAAACATGATTAGAATAAAATGTTGCTGCTTTGTTTATTATGATAGTAAACATTTAATCAGACAGTTCTGCCTAATTATTCATCTCAGTTAAAATTTAAGGGAGTGATCCTTTTATATTTTATAAATTTAGTAGCATTTGCATCTCTCTGTGCTCATGAAGGTGTTTATTTTTCTTTTAATGCTATTCTTTTGAAATACAAGAATGCTTTTCTTTCACCAGAAAGGATGTGATTATTGAGAGCATCAACACTATCACATTAGTAGAATTTAGGAATTTCAATCAAGATAGTAAATTTTGTACAATGTACTTTCAATAAATTATTGTTACCTCTTCACAATTAACCATTTCTTGTTTCAGTATTAATATTGTTTCCTTTGTGTTACTTTTGCCATCTACCTCCATTATGTCACTTGAATTTTTCTTGTTTGGCTTTCTCACTTGACAGTTTCATCAGTTTCTGTTTTCCTCCCTGGAATTTTCCTAAATTCTACTGATTTACACCTGCAGCTGCTTAGCTTTGTAAATGTACATTACTACTTGGTACTAATATATTAAGAATTTTCATTTTATTTAACTGTTTTGAATCACCTCATTTAGGCTATTTATGTATCTCCCTCCCACATACACATAGTTTTTGCTAATTTTTGTTTTACTAAATTTTAGGTACGAAAAAGTCCTGTATACTCATGTATAGCTTTGGTAATTTTATCAATGGAAAATATACATTCATTATATATTGCGGATGAATATTTTTAGAGAAACAAGCAAGTTCAGTTTTTCTCTAAAGTTAGCTGAAACTACATAAAAATTAACATAATTTTAATGTGTTAAATTTTTTTATTTTTTTAATTCTGTTGAACATAAATCACTATTTACTGTATGGGTTTGTTTGATTTACTGAATTGACTAGGGGAGATTACTCAACATTTATATTACCGACAATATAGGAGTTTGCATTGGAAGTTGAAATTATAAAATCGAATTTTTCAAAAATATTTAAAATCTTTTATATTAATGTTAAAGTTCATAATTTTTTAAAAACTTACTGATTTAGAAGAAAAAATACAACATTGAAATTTTTGAGATATCTAATTTTGAACATTTTAATTTAAAAAAAAAAAAAAAAAAAGCATAAATTATTTTGTAACTCTTCTAATACGTAGCTCATATTATTGCAGGAAATGTTATGATATAGGTACCTCCTAATTCGCTGAAAAAAGTTTCTAGACTCAAAAAGATTCATCGCCAAAATGTTTGTTATTATTAAGAGGAAAGATCGAATTATTTTAAATTCTTTGTAAATCCTTTCTAGCATGTTTACTTAGTTTCAAATCAGATTAGTTATACTTTAAATCATCTAATATTCCTTAAATACAGCAAAGTATTTTGTTTACTGGAAATTTTAAATTTAATCTATTAGCTTGAAATTAAAACTAAAATAAAACCCTCAAAGATTTTTCATTTTTAAAAATTAATTTTAAACCCTAGGTATCTCACATAACTCTTCAATTTAATTTCTTTAGCACTACTCTTAAATAATACAAACCAATAGAATAACATTTCAAAGTTACCTCCCTTAGAGATTTAAAAAAAAAAAAAAAAATTGAAATAAAATGTACTTTTGGAATAGTGTTAGAATGTTAAGTGCTCATTGTGTAATTTTGTAGAAATGAGAAAACTATGGCCTCATGCAGTTTTGTATTTTTAAAAACACAAATATGTTAGATTACTTATGACAAAATTGAAGAAGTGTTTTTCTCAATAGCTGGTATTTTAGGTTTTATTGAAGAAATTTTCATTCCTAATATATTTTTAAAATTTCTCCTTATCATAACCTACTCTAGGGTCCACCTGCTACAGGCGGTGCTCCAGGAACGCCGATTATGCCAAGTCCACAAGGTAAATCTGACATTTCTTTGTTCATTATTTTTTCATTTCATTATTGATATGATTTTGTTGAATATGAAATGTTTTATGTAGAAGATTTTAAAACTATGACAATCTGACTACTTGAAATTCTAGATTCTACGAGTTCTGGAGATGGCATGTATGGAATGATGAAAGCTGGAGGTATGCCAAATATGGCAGGGGTGAGTACATGTGTCTGCTCCTATTCATAATTACAATAATAATGGTAGTTGCCTAATGACAAGTGATTCAACAACTTTTCCCATGTTTTACTCAATGCCTGTTTCTTGTTTATTTTGCTGATCTGTGTTTGCATGAAAAATTGATAATGACTGAAATTTGCTAACTGCTCAATAGTGCACACATCTGTTTTACTGGCTAAGATAATCCCTTTAAAAAGAGTTTGCTTTTTTATATGAGGAATCTCTACTTATTTGAAAATGATTCCACTTTTCTCGTGTTCATGCTATTAGCTTCAATGGCATAAAAATAAAATAAAAATAGAAACTGCTTTTAAGCAGTTGATTTTTATAATTTAGAGCAATAGTTGAGTCTCATTTTAAAAAGTAAACTTCTTTCTTAAGTGCTAAATGTTGAAGATCCATGAAAAAGTCTTCACACCATAATCATTTACAACTATATCTATTTCTATTTAATGTTTAATTCAGCTTTAAGATTTATTCCCTTAGAACAGTTTCAAACTGACCATTTGTATATCTAATTTAGTATGCCTGATTGACTTAACTAACCATCTGTTCTAAACTATTAAAGAGTTGCTTGCATTCCATGTTTCTGATTTGACATTAGGTTCCATTATCAACTTTCTAATCCCATATTGACATTACAAACTTGGGCATTGTTGCAACATAATTAAAATTAATATTATTGTTAGACAGAAAAGTATAATGAAACTCAAAATTTATAATAGTGTCATCCTTTTCACAATATTTTTTTTCTTTTCTCTCCAGAAGCAATTGTTTTGATAAGTAATGGATGAAAAGTTCAGAAAAATTTTCTCTATAAATAACATTTTACATTTGTTTGATAATTTTCTTTTTTGTATATACTAAATTTCTTAAACAAAAGAAAAATAAAATCGGTTTTAACTGCTTGATGTGTTGCATAAAGTATTTTCCATTTTAATAGCATGGCTTGTAAAAAGATTAGATTATTTATACTTAATGATACATTTTTAATTAGTGAATGCAATCTTCATTTTAAATTGGAGTTTTGGTCATTATTTGATTATGGGAAAACCTACTCCTGTTAGAACCTAGGATTTACAAGTTATTGACAATATCATTGTAGTGCAATTCAGTTACTGGTCAATTTCTTGTCTGCTTTTAGAAGAAAACATTTTCCAGATTTTGTTGGTGTGTTATCAGTTTCAGTTTTTTGTTTTGCAAGTTTTTTTAAAGTATCAAAAATTTCCTATGAAACCTGCAAATAACTGTTTACAGAGTCATTGATACAGCAATTGTTTAAATTGTCCAAATTAACATTTACATTTTTTTAAAATCTCCAGTTTTACTGTCTCCTAGCTGTCTTTTCTTAAATGACTTAAAACTACAGAAAAGTTTTGAAAATACATTCTACATTTAATTGCATTAGCTGCCATTTATCGCTTAGAAATAACAATGACTTATATTAGATATATTAATTGTGTAAAGTCAACTTTAGTTTATCAGCTACTCTTTCCTATTGTTAGTTAAAATAATTACCACTTGGATAGATAAACGCTGGTAGAATTGGACACCATCATCATTGAATAAGACAAGAATTTGTATGTTCAGTTGTCCATTGTGAGTGAGTTAAGATAATGAATTACATTCCAATTATGTGCAGTTTACCTTATTTATTGTATCTTAGCTTGTTTGCTAATTTGGTGGCAACAATTTTCTTAAAACAGTTGATTTATGACAAAGTAAATTTCATTCACTTTAGTTTGGAATTACAATTGTCTTTAATCTTAAACTGTAGCATGCTCTCTGTTCACATAACTCTTATATTTTACAAATGAGATAAAATTGATTTTTTTTTTTTTTTCTTCTATAAACTAGCATGTCTGAGAATTGTGCTTTTCCCTACTCTATTGAAAAACCTAACTATTTGTGTATATGTACTAAGATTTGAAAATGTTCAAAATAAAAATTTAAAACTTAAAATTTACAATTTCTGTCAAATTTTAGTATTTGAAGCATTATTTATAAATTGAGTACACATTACTGCTGATACTGTTGCTCATAATTGTGAATTGGTATTTGCTATATATTTGTTTTATAACTATTCTTACCAATATTTATATAGCATTTACTTATTTGTAACATACTTCAGTAAACTTACATAAAATGTTTGAAAAACAATTAACTGAAAAAAGATTGATTTTTATCAGCTAGTTAAGGCAAAGTACAAAAAAAAATCTGTAAAAAAGAAAAAATTTTAAATTAAAAAAGTAGCCATTTCTACTTGCACCTTGTTGGTCTGTGATGGTGGCTATGCATAAATGTTGTTAGGTTAACTTTGTCTTCATCCTGCTGCTACTGCTGTTTACATTTCCTGGCCTACACTTGATCACTAACCTTCTAGTTTCATATATTTTCAACATTGTTCTTTTCAATTTTTATTACATCTCATCAATTTTCCACTTTACTTCTCACTCTGTTTTCAAGAGGAACTTATGAAAATTATGTTACCTTTTCAATTTGATTTGTTCAAATTATAACCAAAGATGTTTTATAATTTGAACCAATCCACATTTTTGTTATTGTTGGCTGAAGATTTATAGAAGTAATACTTTCATGTTGGAAATGTTATTTTTAAACATTTTGGATTTTAAGAAAAAATTTAATTTATTTAAAACATTTTTTTTTTCTAATTACGATTTTAAGATGATACATTTTTGATTGTGAGAGGTTAAGATTAAATTCTATGTGAATTTTATACAGCAAAGGGTTTAAGTTGAATGAGAATAATTTTTTTTTTCTCTAGTGTGGAGAATCCTAAAATGTTTGTGTGTAATATTTCCAATTTCAGCTGTGTGTGCAAACAAGGACAAAAAGCTTTGATTTATTTTCATGGAAATGATTTGAAGCTCTTTGCTTGATGTTTTGCTTTGTTGCATTTTTGGCTTCTCTTTGCGTGTGTGTGTATATAAAATGTCTTATATACTGACTGCTTTCATCTTCACCTGGGTTCAGCATCTATATCCTCACTCCATCTGTTAGATTTCTTTGATATTTAGTGCCTAACATCAGATTTTTATTCATTATAATTTGTTTGTCAATATTCTGGTCAGTAGCTTCAATTCTCATTGGTTGTACCTAAATTCTCACAAAGCTATCTATTACAGTTTGGATAATTTTTCTTTTCTTATTTTATAAACTCTTCTAAAGTTGATTTGTACTGGTTTTGCCAGTTACTGGTTATGGATTAAAAGTAGGTTTAATCAGTACTGATGTAAATCATTTAGATGTTGTAATGAATTTGACTTGTCTTTTTTCTGGATTAGTTTATGGATGTTGATTTGAAAGATACTATTCTCCTAATTTTGTTTTCTCTGTCATTCAATCAAAAGGTTTTTGTTGATTTTAAAGATTCTTTTGCAAACATTTTCATTATTCCATATTTGTAAAGAGTTGATGCTCCATTTCCGTTTGTTGTTAGCATGGTATGTTACTATTTTCAAACTTCTAGTTTTCAAAGTGTCTAGATGAAAATAATGAAGCAGTAGTATTGTGCAGTGCTTATCTTTCTTGGCTAAGGACAACAATGTTAACTGCACACACACACACACTTGATCTGCTCATCGTTTTTCTGTATGCAGTCAGTTCTGATCTGCTTCCCTGTTTGTTGCCTTTGCTAGTTTCCACCAATGGGAGGACCAGACGGAGGGATGCCTATGGGACCTGACATGCCTGCAGTGATGAACGGTAAGTGAACTACCCTAGATCTGGTGGGATATTGACTGATGTCCATCTTTACCCTTTTTAATGAAAATAATGACATGAGGAAATACATATTTTTCTATGGCTTATATAGTGCTTCCAAATAATTATTTTGTAATGAAGTATATTTAGTATAATTTTGGTAAAATTATGAATCTGGTATCTTTCACTTAAATTGACGAAGGTTTCATCTGCTCATGTGTTTCAACTTGATTTTGTTCTAAATGGTCTTATCAAATCTAAATAAGCCATTGTTTAAAAAAAAAAAAAAAAAATAAACCACATATAATACAAGTATTTAATGGTAATAATAATTTTTTTTTTATAAATGGTTTTGCTTTAATGTTATGCCACATAAATGTGAATTACACTTTAAAGAGAGGTAATGACATCAAACAGTTTTGTCTTTATCCCATTTCTCACTTCCTATATTAAATTGGATCAGATTTTGCTGTCTTTACATAGCATTTAGTTTTTGTTTGGTGATTATCATTAAGGGAATTGATTTTAAAAATTAAAAAAAGCCCACAAAATAACTGCAATAATTACAATGTAACCTTTTAGCATTTTATGCAGTAAATATTTAATCCCAATAAGATCATTATGCTTTATTTTGCATGATACTTGTTTTAAATAAGAATTGGTTTAATATATAGTTTCCTTGTGAATTACATTAAAAAAAATTACTGGATATTCAACATTAGCATGCAAGTTATTTTTGTTGAAGAAATGCAACTGTTGAAAATTTTATCACACCTGAATTACAGAGGAAAACAAAAACTTGCTTAACTATTGCATGATAGTGATGTACTCTGATTTTTTTTTTCTTTCTTTTCTTAGTAAATTCTCCTTAGTTAAGTAGACATCACAATATATCTATCACTGTGTAAGAACTTAACATTTTTTAATGATACTGTTAATTATTATGGGCTTTTCTTAATGTTATTAGTGACTGTATTTTGATGATGGATATAGCTTTTCATTGCAATAATATGAAGATCTGAAAGTGTTGCATGTGATGCTGGTGAATCAAACTGCTATAAATTGATGAACATATTTTGGATGTGGTGGGAACTTTTTCCTTTATCCTCTCTCTCTCTCTGTCTCTCTCTCTCTCTCTCTCTCCTAAAGTGGTTCCTCCCTTTTGTTATTTGTCTGGTTCTCTTCACTTGGTTTTTCTGTTTTTTAGTCACCAGTTAATAAAAATCGACATATTTTAAGATTTCTTTTCTTCATTTCATTTATTTATTGTGGGTTAAATTTTTCTAGTTTTATTTTATTTTTTTGTCAATGATAATCAACTAAAGGTGAAATTAAAAATTCAGATTTTCAATTTTTAATAAACAGCATGACTTTTTATTTCTTCTATTAAGTATTTTGATTGTTTTCAATATTTAAGAAACAGTGGAATGATGCATCATGTTATATAATCATTGAGTCTTTAGAAATATAGGAACTACTATCAAAGCAACTAATAATTATGCAATAACTGCTTTGGTGTTTTCCATATACTTATAATGGAATATTCAAACCACTCACTGACTAATGACAGCTTTTCAACTGATTTCTAATCTATGCTGCTTTTATATTTACTAATATTTGAAGAAATTCTATTTCTGTTTTGGATGAAAAGTTTTTTTTCTTTTTTGTTGTTGTTTTTTTTTTCTTTTTTTTTTTTTTTTTGTTTCATTTTTTTTTTAATTTATTTTTTCCTTTCCTTTTTTTCCCCCCTTTTCCTCTCCCCCACCAACTCCCTCATTTTTTTAAATTTTTTTTTTCTTTTTTCTTATTTTCATACTTTCTTTTTTTTTCTTTTTTGCATTCCGTAACTTGGTATCTTTGCTCTCCTTGATTTCATTCAAGGCTGTGCTTTATTTTTCCTCCTTTTTTCACAGCATTTGCTTACAGTTAGGTCTTGTATACAAACTTCTGTCATATTTTGTACAAGTGAAGGAATTTGCCTTTTTTCTTTTCTTTTCTCTTAAATCTTTGAAGCATTGAGAACTTGTTAATTCATTTATTTAATGCCACTTTCTGACCCGATATATAAAGCAGCAGAATTGAAAACTATATTGTGCTGTTTTTTTTTTTTTTTTTTTTTTGAATTATTTTGAATTTACATGCATGATAAATTTCAGTTAGAGTAGAAATCATAAAAATTAAATCTTATGCAAAATAATTCATTTGTGAGTTAAATTTTATAAACATCCTGAGAAATTTTCAGCAGAAAAGAATAGTATCAAAAAGGGATTTTTGTTTTATATATATATATATATATATATATATGTTTATTTAAAAATGTGAAGTTGGTATTGCATATTGCAAAAAATTTTGCCTTGAGAATTGGCCTGAATTTTTGTGCAATTTACTATTAGTAATATGAATTAAATTTATGAAACCAAATTTTAAAAACAAAAAACCTTAAGCATTAACCCATTGCTGTTGAATATCAGCAGTAGAAAAGCCAGTAGCAAACTTGAGCTGTGTGAGTGATATTTTTTTTATTTTTTTTTTTTTTCATCACTACAGAAAATTGTCCCCAGGTCCTATGTAGTTTGTAGCTATTGATTACTTTCGAAAAAAAAAAAAAAAAAAAAAAAAAAAAATATCCCTACCATAAACTTCTACTTTTTTCCAGAAGTACCGATTGGAACCCTACCTAAACAATGTACAAAGTGATGAAACATCCCTGGAATTAAGACTGGCTACCAAATCTGTTCCCTGTCCCTGACAGAATCCTAATAACTGGCAGATTCCTTACAAGTGGCACACACTCACTGCTTTGAGTACTTGGGACATTTTTTTTTTCTATTTTATTTATTTATTTTGGTTTTCCCCCTGCTCTTGCATGGCTTTACCTGGCATTTTACACAATTTGAAAACATTTAAGAATTTCTCTCACTTTTAAAAATATATTTTTTTAAATTTTTACAACAAAATATAAATGAAAAGCCAGGAGTAGCTCTATCATAGGCCTATTTCTCTTTCTGCTGCCTGCAATTTTTAATATTTTTTGTCTTGAGTACACAGTGCTAAATGCACTTCACTTTGGAAGCAAAAGTCAGCCACTTGTACTATTTGAGTGGTCTCTCTCTATCTCTCTCAAGGTTTTTTTTTTTTTTTTTTTTTTTTTTTTTTGTGCAACCTGTATGGCTAAACTTGCCTTCATACAAGTTGATTCCACTATAATTTTATTCACATAAATTTCCTCATTCTTTTTCTTCTCACTATTTCTCAGGATGTTATAACATTGTGATATCAGCACTTGATATTACCATTGCTTATTGGAATAGCTTAATCCCATTTAAATTTTGTTTCTTTATATTTTCCAGCCATAATTGTGTAGGGTTGGTAAGGGTGCTAAGTTCCTTGTGCAAAGAGGCCAAGAAGAAAAACTTACGTTTTTCCTCTTTCTTTTTTTTTTTTTTTTTTTTTTTTTTCTTCCCCAATAATTTCTGTTTTAGGAGAGATGGATGGTATGAAGAGTTCACCACCAAATGGTCCAGGCACACCTCGAGAAAATTTACCCCCTGATAGTACTGGTGAAATTGGAGGATACAGTCTTGGCTATCAGGAAAACGTAAGTCAGATCAGCTTGTGAATGCACTTTGGCCTAACTGAGACGAAGAATTCTGACATCCCCCTCTGGTCGCATCATCGGCTATGTCACTGGCCCTGGTGGTTATGGGGCGGTTTGCATGAGCTGGCTGTCTGAGGCTTTTCTTATAAATGTCCTGCTGCTCCCTCCAGCCTCCCTCACCCCACCTCCTCTTTGACCACCATCACCAAATTTTTCCTTTTCCCCTATACCCTACCCCTCCATCCTGTGGCCTGCATTCCTTCCCTGCATACCAAGTCCACTCAAAAAGAAAGGAAAAAAAAATAAAATAAAAATATGAAAATGATTGGAAAAAAAAAAAAAAAAAAAAAAAAAAAAAAAAATATATGACAAGGCTTCTCTCCCATTGCTAAAATCTTTCAAACAATCTTGATGGTTATGGAACTAAATTCTTTCCCTTTATAAATCTCTCTTCTCTGTTGTATGAAAAATAATTGTTAAAAGAGAATCTTTTAATTTTTACCCCCATCCTTCTCTGCTGTGGCCTGGTTCCTGTTACTTGCAAGCAAGCGCATGTTGGTTCCCCAGCCTGCAGCAAATTCAGCTGTGTATAGATAAATTCACACACGTCTATTTTTTCCTGAAAAGCTATCACATCATTATTCGCCAACATCATGATGCATTCTCACCATCTCAACTGCCAAATTCACGCTCATTACGAGCATGCGTTTCCTATCTATATTTGTATCATATTATGATTTTTCAGGATCAAAATGAATCCGCAGCTATCCTTAAGATAAAAGAATCTATGCAGGAGGAGGCAAAACGATTTGAAAAAGAGGCCGACCATCCAGAATATTTCATGCAATAACTGTTAACGGAAAGAGCAAGTAGCGTGTAAATTATTCTGCTATTTATGGTTTGTATTTATGGGAAGTGAGCGCGAAGGAAGGAAGGGCACCGCCGCCTGATGATGGCGCTGTACCGAGACCCAGGTGTTGGCGAGTGTACTGAGGGATTAGGGCATACGTTAGCACTGTTTGTTTGTTTGTTCTTCATTCATTCATTGTCTTTTATTCATGTCTTTTATTTTTCTTTTTCTATTTTTCTTTATTTTATTAAAAAACAAAAAACAAAAAAACAAACAAAAACACTTTTTCTTTTTTCTTTTTTCTTTTTCTCTTTTTTTTTTTTTTTTTTTTTTTTTTTCTTTTTCTTCTCCCCTTTTTTTTTCTTGCCTCCATTTGCTGTCTGTGTTTCCTTCATTTTATTTTGCTTGCTGTGACATTGTTTTTATGCAGTCACCCACCTATCAGTTGTCTGGTAATACCAAGACATGCTATCACAACAATTTTACCTATTTGTAAGGAGTCGGTCTGATTCAGACAAACAAAAATAAAAGAAACAAAAAAAAAAAATACTTGCTGAACTTATGTACATTTCATTGTGCTAGAAGGTGCTGTATGCCAGAGAAAAAGCAACTGACCCAGCTTCATTGTGATAACTCTCTAAATCTTGACTGTAAAGAACAAAAGAAGAAAGAAAAAAAAATCCCCCTCACGACCGGACGTCTTGCTTGAACTCCGCTTCTCCTCAGCCCTAATCCTTTGGTCTCACGAACCCCTGTGTTGTTTGCAAACATCAGGATTGTTTGAAGACACCAAGAAATAGTCTTCAAGCCAAATCAGTAAAAGACTTTTTCATTCCATCTCCTTTTTAATTTTTCTTACCCATTAGGCGCTAATATATTGCTTGATTAACTTTTTTTTTTTTTTTTTTTTTTTAACGATTTTTTTTCTTCTTTTCTTGCCTTGAATTTGCATGATTTTTTTTCTTTTCTCTCAAATTGTTCAACTCAACTCATTTTAAAGTGAATCATTACTCATTCTTAAATATTTTACTTTATTATCATTAATTTTAAGATTTTTTGGAAAAAAAAAAAATTGGCTTAAAGATTATTTCTTACATGTGACGCCTACCCTTGTAGAGTGGTTGGAAGGAGATTGTATTGTAAGCCACAGGTTTTTTCACATACCTTTTCTTTTCTTTTTTTTCTTTTTCTGTGGCAGGGCAGGTTTCTTAAGTCTGAAAGTATGGGTTATGAAAAACCTTTTTACCTGGACTGCTCAGAGGACTAGAAATATAGTCCGTTGTGTATTGACAGGAGGTATCTGTTCAGCAAATTCAGAGGGTGATGAGTGAGATTCGAGTTTTCTGTGATTCAATATTTTATTCTGGGTATTATTAAACCCTTCTTCCCCCTCTTCCTTCATCATACATAATGATGCATATTAAATTGAGATTTTTATGCTATATTTTGACTGGTCAGATAAGATGGGGTTGGTGGGGGGGGTGCATGAAGTGGGGGGACAGAAGTATAAAATCTGCAATGCACTTCTCAATCACAGTGAAAGTCAGATTCCCATTCCAAACCAAGAACCGCCAATGTCATCATTGATAAGAGCTATCATACAAAAATATCTAAATCCCTGAAGAAAAAAGGGAATAATAATAATAAAAAATTGAAAAAAAAAATAAAAGCAAACTACTTGAGGTTTGTTGGTTTTTTTTTTTTTTTTTTATATGTATGTTTGTTATCTGGTGCATGATCCCTTTTAAGCTAATTATTTTCTGCTTTTGTATTTTTAAATGAAAGGGAAGAGAAATTGAGATATATAATGCATGTGTACGTATATATATACACACACACACACACACACACACACACACACACACACACCCCTAAATGGGCATGAGGCCAAATTGTGGTTGTAGTGGTGGCCATGATAGCCAATAAGGGTTTTCTTAGGTTTAGTGGGGACTAGTCATATCTTTTCTTAACATTTGTTTATCTACTCGAAGCATACAATTGTGTATGCTTGATGATTCGCACACTCCACCCATTCTTTGTACATTTGCTGTATACTACTTGCTGTGGATTGCGACATCGCTTATCCAATCAATCCGCTGCTGTTCCATCAACTTCAGAGTTTTCTGTTCTAAGTTCATTTACTTGGACACAACATTGTTATTGATATTTCTGGGCTTTTCATTATTTCATCAGTTTCATTGGGTCACTTTTTCCCTCCTCTTTAAAAAAAAAAAAAAATTCTTTCACTCACTCGCTCACTCTCTAACTCTTCCTCCAGCTTCCCTGACCTGGTCCTTCCCTGTCCTATACCCTTCCCTCCCCTTCACCTACTAGTGACTGCCTATGATATCCATGCAGATAAGTGATTTCATTTAGATTTTTTAAAACATGAAGCCAATTTCTTGGTGAACTGAGACCAATTTACAACATAAACTCCAGTAATTGGAGCCAGTATGAATATTTCAATATTTTTTTCTCTATTTATTTATTTATTTATTTATTTATATATAAATATATATAAATTTATATATATTTGTATGTATATAAATAAATAAATAAAAAAAATTTCTCTGTACAGGGCATAAATTGTCAAAATTTTAATTGGACATATCCCTTCTCCACTACCCCTTTTCTCATCTTTTCTCCTCTCTACCCAAACTGTATTTTTCATACCATAATAAATTAATCTTTGTTTGTCCTGATATTGTTTTTCTAGTTAAGTGAATCCAGTGTAGTAGATAAATCATTGTAGCATCTTTTAGTTTTTGTGGGTCCATTTTTCAATATCATCTGTCATGACTCTTCAACTTTTTTGTATTGCAAAAGAAAACCAACACCACTAACACCACCAACAACCAGATTGTGTATTGCCCTTGCTGTCCTCTATAATTGTACATAGCTTTGACAGCCTGACCCCCCAAATGGAACAGGGTCCATATTTCATTGTGACAGAGGGCTACATTATATTTTCATATTATCACCAACATGTCATCTGATTATTTTTCTTTTTTTATTTACCCTTCTCCCTTTCTGTATATGTAAAAGTTGCTTTGAGGCCTATGATTTGAAGCCATTGTTTTGAATACCACTGCATTAGAAATTATTTGCATCTTTTGTTTTGAGGTTTGAAAAAAAAATATAAATTTCAAAAACTTTTTTTTTCTTTTTTGTTTCTTGCAAAACAAATCTACATCAAATTTACTGCCTTCAATGTTAAAAATAAAATTGTCAATTTTCTTGTTCGCTGAAATATCTTCTAGGGAGTTTAATTCATTTATATTAATTTAATAATCTTCAATTGGCAAAATATTTTTCATAAAGAAGTTGAAGTTTTAATATTTAAAACTGTTGAGAATATTTTGGAATTTGAGAATTGGAAAAGCATAAGTTTTCTGGACAATTTGTATTTGAAGCTTATTGGCTAAAATGCTAAAAAACTAAATATGGGATGCGAATGTTTCTTGACTTTTTTTTTTTTTTTCTCCCCCTTTTTATCAAAATAATCCCCCCCCACCTGCATTTTGAAATGAGATTCTAATACTGATTTTAATTTTTCACTTATACATAATCTACTTCATCTACAATGGTTCAATTCTCTTTTCAAACTTCAAAATATATTTAAAAAAAAAAAAAAACTCCCTACATTACAAATTTAAATGGCTTTCATTTGGTCTGCAGATATTTCAAAATTAAAAAAATAAAATATTTAGCTTAATTCATTAACTTTCATAAAGATTTCCCATTTTCATACCTCAAGTAGTCAAACGAGTTTAATTTCTAAAGCAAAAGTATTTCAACTGGTGGTTTCTGTTCAGTGTTGTGGGGAAGTGTATTAGCCCTTCACATTTTACAACAGTGTTAAAGAAAACTTGTACTCTGCTTGAATTTACTGGCACAACAGGCTGGGTAGATCCTCTTTTCAAAACAGGTATAATGATTATCTGTAGCATCTCATTGATCATATTAGTTCCTTTTTGTTTTTCATACCCAGTTTATAAGTTGAAACTTTCATTGATTATTTAGGAATTAGTTTTTATGAAGTTGCTCTGTAAATATTGCCTTTCAGAAAGTTTGCCTCTTTCTGCAAAAAATTTAGTTTTAAAAATTTCTTAGAAACTGACTTCAGTGGCTCAATTTATTTATTTATTTTATTTTTTAAGCTGTGTGTATGTCAGGAGGAGCAATGGTAATATGGAATTCAATGCTTATACTGCAATGAATTCTTTCTCTTAGAGAGATTTTAATTCACGAGCATATTACAGTCACATGTCCATGGCACCTATTTGACTTATGAAGATGATGTGCCCCAGAATTTTTCTCCTTTAGTTGTCCAAATTGAAAAGCATATTTTCCCATTTTGTAACTTTGGAAAAGGTTTTATATTTTACTGGCTTTCACATGCACAAAATATTTTCCTTTTCCTCTTTACGTAAGCCATGAATATCTTTAATTGGATCTGGATCTGTGGCTGGCTATAAAATTCATAAATTGTTACAATCACTTATCTGGCATAGAGATTACATTATCTTTTACATGTTTGGGCAGTTTGTGTCTATCTTTGAAATACAGTATTCATTGCAAATATATAGTTGTATACAGTGAATTACTCTCTTTACCTTTATACAGAGAAAGCATATGTGCCAAATTAGACAGCAACTTTTTATACACACACACACACACACACACATGCGCACTTAATCTCCAAAGATGGTCTTTTTTTTCTTAAATGTGCTGTCCAAAATACTTATAAATAAACCTGTATATCTGTTAATTCCAACCAATATAATCTTAGCTCATTCACTGTCATTAGTAAGATAGCACTTTAAAAACATTGGTTTATATATTTTTTTACTGTTAAACTTCAACAAAAGGTTATGTTTGGAAAATGTCTGCTATTTTATAGTGCTGTAGGCAAAGCTGATCAGCCTGCTTTTCAGTGCACTTTTTTGTTGCTCATTAGATGGAGAACAAATTTCCCAAAACTGTCATCTTCATTACTTGTTCATCAACGCATAAATTTAAATTCAATTTCAATTTAGTTTAAATTTATAAACTTATTTTCAAAACCTTTTAGGACTGTGTAGCAAGTTTGACTAATGTTGATAAATAAATCTTTGTATCTATAACTTCTCACATTAGAATAAATTTTCCCAGTTATATGCCAGAATATTGATCCAGCTCCTTCAGCGATTTACCATTTTCTATCGCTTTGTGGACTGCATTACTGCTGCCAGTAGTGAATGTTGTTAACCTTTCTTTCTCAAATGTGAAAAAAAAAAAAAAAAAAAAAAAAAAAAAGATGTATCCCAAATTAGATGACTTTGCTGGCTGCTTGATCATATTTACATTACAGAAGAAAGTGAAAGAGGTTCTCTGCATCTCTAACAGTAACTGAGAATAAGACGGAACACATCGACTGAAAAGAAGACTGCTATTATGGGCAAGACTTAGCCTGTTATACTGCCATGGCTGTTTTGGACTGTTGGCTTTTTTACGATATTGGACTCTGGAGCAACACGAATGTTATCCATATGAGCTTGGTGAAATCCTTTACACTTTAAGAGATACTATGTATGTATAAATGTTTTTTAATTGATAAAAAAAATATATACCTTTTATATTCACAAATGGATTTTCATTATTTAATCCACAATGAACCATCTGCTATCTTGGTAGAATTTCCAAGAAACTGAATACCATTGTGCTCTAGTTCCCTCCTATTTTGGTCCTGGTTGTTGCTCATGAAACAATGTGAATACATTGATGTTTAGGTGTTTGTGTATCAATGCAAGCACTATTGGCTCTCTATACATATTTCTTGGCATGTAAAAGTGTGTGTGTGTGTGTGTGTGTGATGTTTTTTTTTTTTTTTTTGTTTGTTTTAAAAAAAAAAAAAATGGCTTTTGAAGTCTTGATTTATCTCCCTTCTCTAGTTTATTTGATAATGTGATCTTGATCCCTAGCCTTTTGTGCCTGTTGATTTATCCAGATTTTGATTGAGGGCAAATTGATTTTATCCTTGAAAGTATTATTTTTCTGTACTTCTTTCTTTCTCCTTTTCTTGCTCATTGTACTCCTTTCCCAAATTTTCTCATGTATTTTTTTTTTCTTAATGTACACGACTTCCCAATGAATTTTGCAACAAAAGAACATTCATAGGCCAAAAGGCAGCTCTCATCAAATCTCTGTATATAAATTTAATTGAGCATAAGATGCTGGTATCTTCCAGGTAAACATTTCCTTGGCACTGAGTAATTGTTTCATTAGAATTGCTTTGTTCAGTGTTTCAGCCAGAGGCAGATGGTATTATTTCAAAAACAAACACATGCACACATTCTCCAGCTTTTCACTTTCACTCTTTTCATGTTTTTATTTTTTTTTCTTCTTTACACACTTAATCTTTACCTTAGAATGATACTTCATATTTAAGGTGGGGATGGGGGAGGGGCTTTTTTTTTTTTTTTTTCAAAATTTGAAAGGAAGTGAAATTTTTCCCCTCTTCCTTTTATGTATTTTACATTTTGAAAGCACAAATTGAATTTTTATACACTTTTACAGAATATTCATAATTGTCATCAAACTTATGAGAAATCCAAAGTTTGCATCCCCCCCTAAAAAAAATCCTCCGAATCTGTATTTTAAGGAGTTGTTCTCTTCTTTGCCATTTTATTTAAATATAAAATAGAATTTTGTCTTTAATCACAACTGCCTAAAAAATATATATATATATATATATATATATATATATATAAGAAGAAAAAAATACTGTTTTTTTTTTATTATTATTATTATAATGCATTTAATTTAAAGCATAGCAAATGCATTCACTAATGTATATTTTGGTGCATATTGTACCTGTGACTACAAAATTAAGCAAAAATATTTAAGGATTGTAATTTTTTTTCTTTTCTTAGGATTAGTCTTTATTTTAGTGGATGCTCATTAATAATTGTGACTGATTGTAAAGTTTCAACATCTTGCTTTCTTCTCTGTTGTCCCCCCCCCTTCCTCTCACCAACTCTTATTTACTACAACAATACATTGGTTGTGACATTCCATTCTGTATCATAAAACTATCAAAACTCTTATTAATAACCTAGCAATTTGTTTTGCCATAATTTCTAGGGTAAATTTTTTAGTCTTTATTTTAAGAAAAAATCCAGTTGGTAGGTATTGATTAATATCTCTATTTAAAGTTCCCTGTCTCTAATTTGACTGCTGGAGAAATGTGAAGGTTGGCTCATTTGAGAAGTGTCGGGTGGGGAGGTCCTTCCTGCATACAAATGATAATGTAAGAAGCAACATTTTGGACTACAATATATGCCAATGGTTTTTATTTATTCATTTATTTATATCTATTTTTATTTTTTTTTTTTTTTTTTTTTTTTTTTTTTAAAGAAAATTAGTTCATAAATATATTTTAAAGAAGCTGTTTTCGAAGGAATTAGTTTGTTTTAAGTTTTTAATAATCTTCATTTATCACAAATTTTTGATTTTTTTTTTTTTTTTTTTTTCCCTTTTCTATAAAATCAATTGATTTCTTTCTATTATATAGAAAGATATCTTCTGTACCTTTTGTTTCAATTATTTTATCCATGAATATACTGATTTTCATTGTCGTTTAAAATGCTGCTATCTGAAATAAAATAACTTGGATATTATGTTCTTTTAACCATTTAGTAGTCATTATTATCTGTTTGTTACTTGCCCAAGCCCCTCTGAAATACCGGTGTAGCCACCTAGTACTAATTTTCTGTAATATAAAAAGAAGACTGGTTGAATATCAAGATTTTTACTTTAGTTGGAACTGCATAATCACTAAGCATTTTTCAGGCCTTTTCTTTTTCTCCTTTACACTTTTTTCTTAATACAAATGTGGTTTGTGTATAGTTGGTTAATGTTGTAATAATAGATTGGTTCAAGTATATGTACTTTTTTTTTTTTTGTGTGTGTGTGTGTGTTTCCTGATCAAAGTGCTGTATGTATTTATAGCATCATTTGGACAAACATAAGCTACCTCGGAATATTTGTTATTAATTACCTTGCTTTATAATCAGGTGTTTTAAAATTAATATTAATGTAGTATCTTATTTTAAGATTTCTTATTCCAAGTTTATTCTAGATCATTCCAACAGTATAGGCAGCAATTCAGTTCTCATATAATTGGCATTTATTGAGAGCATTTTGATTTCTATTGCTCTGATTAGAGTACAATGGATAAAATTTGTTACTTCTGATATATATTTCATTTCTGAACATGTCAAGGTTATCCCTCCCTCACCCCTGCCAATATAGAAATTTTTATTTTACATACTTCACTCTTATTTCTCTTTCTCTCCCTCTTAAGTAAATACTTCTTTGTTGTCTACTGGCTGAAACACTGTATAACATTTTCAATGAATATAATTTTCCAGAACATCACTAATTTTCTGTGAATGTTTCCCACTCCCTAGCACTATTTCAGCATATGTGGTTAGACAGCATCACTCATTTACTTGGAAGACAACTGATCTGTCAGACCGACTCCAATCTCTGTATTTTTGTGCTCGTATTCCCCACCCCTAAATGATCTGTTGCTAAAAGGCTTTGTACATCGCAAATCTCATATTTCTCTAACTTCAATGAAACTATATTAAGGGTCTCAACAGTGTATCAAGAGAAAAAGAACTTATTACTAATGAAAGTGAGAGAGAATGCATCTTGTGTGTGGGGTCCCTTGGATTCACAGAACAATCAAAACATTCAAGGCAATATTGTATCATATGATCTGTAGTCATTTTGTATTCATCTTCACATGTTGGAGCGGTCTCATCAAATACCTAACTTATTGTCCACATTGTGTAGAGATGATGCCGTCAGTTTTTAGTTTCCAATTTGAAATGTATGTTCTATATTGTATAAGAATCATGTAGAAACATGAAGGGTAATAAAGCGGCAGTGAGACCTTTGGAACTCAGCAAAAATGTATTCATGTATTCTGTTTTCATTGGAATCAGGGATGATGATGATGATTGGAAATCTATCTCTTTTTTTTTTTCTTTTTTTTTCCTCTCTTTTTCTCTCTCTCTCTCTCTTTCTCTGTCTGTCTGTCTGTCTTAGATGAAATGTTTCTTTTCCCTCTCTTGTCAATTTGCTTGTGCCCACTATCTGGAACAAAATTATTACAATTTGTTTCCCCCACTTCTTATAAATGAGTAAATTCATTTGAATTGAGATAGATTTTTATATTCAAATCTCCCTTTTGAAAGGGATGTACTACATTTAATCAGTTTTCATTGAAAATTAACTGATGTAAATTCTTTTTCTTGGAAAAATAAGCTTTTATTTTTAATCACTTAACTCCTTTAAAAAATATAAAGGCTCATGTAATTCTGTAAGTTTTTACATTTTGCTACTTATATCTCAAATATATTAGCAATTTTCATACTTTTGATATCAATTTACACTCTCCCATTTTTTTTTTCTGTTTTTGTATAAGATATGAGGAAGAAAAACTGAATTGAATGCAGTGCATTGCTTTTAAATTTTTCTCAATTTCTGTTGGGGTATGGTGAGATAATGCATTACCTTGGCAGTATGAAAATAACATTGAGCTGAAATTTGCTGTTCTAGGCTGGGTTATAATTGATGTTTATTGAAATTGAACAGTTTAATCACATTTTCTTTTTCGTCATGAATGGTTTTTTAAATGGTGATAATTTTTAAACAGGTGGCGTAATAGCATTGAAGCTGGAATATAAAAATGGTAAATGTGTGTATGTTTGAGTGTATGTAGCATTTTTATTGGATATATCAGCCTGTTAATGTTTATTCAATAGCTGTTAGATTTTAAAACAATTGTTTGTATGCTGAAAAATTGATATTTCTTACTATTCCCTGCAATTTAACTTAAGCTACACAATATGAAAATTTGAATTCAAGAAAAAACTTATTCTTTAAGCCTAAAAATTGATTCATTATTCCATTGATTACTGTTAGTACAAAATGTATATTTTTAAGTCTTATTTTCTACTTGTAAACTTTGAATAGAAGAATCTGAAGAAACACAATCTGAAGGAATAAATTGTATATTTGTATTTATTTGTAGCTTATGCACATGAATATTTGTAGTTTTTACATTGTTAGCACTTTACATCATTACATAGTTCTATATCTTTTTCTAGATCACTTTTCTTTAATAATGTTATGAACATGTTTTTTCTTTTTTCTTTTTTGCTTTGGTGTTTTATTTGTTGTCTAATTTACCTCAGCAAATTAAAATAAATTGAAAATGACATTTACTGTTATTACTTTACTGTTATTACTTTATTATTATTACTTATTAAAAGAATTTAATTCAATCTTAAATTTTTACTTTCAAAATATAATTTGATGTTTTCAGTCTACAAAATAAAAATATTTTAAAATATATTTTTAAATGAATTAACACTTATTTGTATAGATCATTAAATCTGAGTAGCTTAATCAAATATAATTTGGTAAAGTATTATGAAAATAAATACATTAAAAAATAAATCCTTTTAATCATATTTGAAGACTAATGTTTTATATTAGTTGATTGTTATAAATATATAAAGTAGTTACAAATTTGAATGTTTATAGTGAATAATTTTGTGGCTTATTGAAGATGTTATTAAAAACAATTTTAAGAAATATTGTAAAATAAATCCCCAAATTAGTTTTCATGTTTCTAACATGAACTCAATGCAGGTGAGTATAAATAGTTTTTATGATGAATAATGATTTAATTCTAAACTAGAGTTGCTTTCCTTCTTCACTGTGGAATAGATTTTGAACTTGCTGGAAATTTGCATCATTAAATTAATGCTAATTTCAAATGTTAGTCAAACCTGGAATGTTAACCTTGGAATAATAATAATTTTGTATAAACTTTTGTAGGATAGTTTATCTGATGAACATGCTGCAGATTTTCTTTTACTTTTTTGATATATATATATATATATATATATATGCCCTTGGTGTGTTTGCAGTTTTGATTGTGAGATTAGTTGAAAGGAATTTATCTTGTTTATTGCAATTTTTTATTTTATGTAGTCAAATATATTCTACAGAAATTTTTTTTGCTTTCTGCTTGGTATCATTTTATTTTGAAATTTTTTTTTATTATTTGCTTTTAACTTCTAATTTTTAATTTGTGTAGCTATTTTGCTTATATTTTAATTTCCTTGCTGTTGAATACTAAAAGTTAGTGACCCTGACATTTTAAGGCCCTTATGAATATTTTTTGTTCCAAAAGTTAAAATTTATTGCTTTTACATTAATGTCCTTACTGTTTGTGTGAGAGCCAGCAACCTCTTCTTAGTTAGCATGACATGAAAAAAAGTTTTTAAAAAAAAAAAAAAAAAATTGAATGAATTTCCTAAAATAAGTAAATTTGCCAAAAAGAAAAAAAAATAACTAAAGATTCAATTTTAGTTGACCCTATACACACACACACACACACACACACACACACACACACACACACACACACTCCAGTGGATTTACTTCCTTTAACATAAAAATATGATCTTATCTAGATTTAAAAGTTTAGATTTTAAGATTACAAAAATCTCTAAAATAAAATCTATTTCTACACTTTTACAATATTTTACATTTTAAAATTTAAAAAAAAATTTAAGCTTAATTTTCTCACTTCATTTTTATTTATTTCTTTTTTTTAAATGGCATTGTTTCTTTATATTTGCATTAAGTTCATTTATTAATCATTTGATTTTATCCTGTTATTGACTTTTAACATTTTTAGTGATGTATTAGTGTACTTAATATTTTTGTAAAATGCATTTTTTTTTTTTCTTAAATATTGAAATTTGATTTTAGAGTTAACTGAGCAATTGACCTTTGGCAAAATTCTAACTTAAATCTCATGAAAAGAATTATAATCTTGCATTAGTTTTAAACTTTACTTAAATTGTTCCCCACTTATTAATAATTCAATATTCTTTATCATTTAATCAATATAAATTATCATTTTGGCTTTTGTATTGGATGTTCCATTATGATTCTTTAATGCAACCAAATTTTTAAACGAATTTCCAGGTAAGTAATTTTTTCCCTACAATACTAAAATATTTTTTTAAAGCTACAATATATTTTTCTTTTTCTTTTTTTTCTTTTTTTTTTTTTTTTTTTTTTTTTTTTTATTACTGTGTAAAATTTGGCAATGGAATTTTGGCAGCATATCTTGCTTTGCTCTAAGCAATTTAGTGTAACTCTTTCGATAAGCACTGCTTTTTGCTATAAACTTTGTTGAAGCATAAATGGGCAATTTTATTTTTTATTTTACTTACAAATACACAAGATTATCAATTATACAAGTATAAATGTCTTTGGAAATTCTAGCCTATAAATTTTTTATGTTTATTAGAATTGTAATTGTGTACACTTGACTCACTTTTTACATTTGGCATGCTTTTCAATTTGCTTTGACTTGAAACTGGCAATTTAAGCTGTTATTTTTTTTTTTTTTTTTTTTTACTCCTGCTTAAGGAAAGATAACTCCAATTTCCGAAATGTTAAATAGAGAAAAAAGTAAGCCATCTTTCACTCTGAAGCAAAGAAATACAAAATTATACTTACAGTAAATTTTTCTATTTAGTTTCTTCTGTTATTCCTGTTTTTCTATCTAAGCAATAAATCTACTTTCTTAGTTTTTATTTTCTAGTTAAAGGTTTGTTTTCTTGGAAAGCCTCAATGCACTAAATGTCAAAATACTAGCATAATGCATTATTTTTTTTTCTCCTTTAGGCATGAAAAAGCAAGTCTTGAAACTTTACTGTTTTCAGCTTGAATATTGGATTTTGCATTGGTCTATGAAACTCATTGTAAAAGTTGCTAATATCACTTTTCACCTTGCAGGAAGCAATATAGCAATTGCAACAGGGGAAAGTAATTCTTTTCATCTTGCCTTGTTAAAAGGCTCAAATTTCTAGTCTTTCATAAAGATGTAATGTTAGTTAATGTGTATTTGTAGACATACAATTTGCTAGTTTGCTTCAGATTGGGATTATGGTCTTTCTCTTCATATATAAAAAATTTCTCTTTAAGAGAGTTGAAAGTAAATTTAAATTGTGTATGGGTGTGAATTTATAATTAGTTGATTTTGCAGGAGTAATGATTTTAAATCTGTTCCATTGTGTACACAATCATACAAATGTGTGAATGATATTAATTGCAAGTTATTAGATTATGATCCAAAATCTCTTCTGATATTTATTTAAAGTGTCTAGTTATTTCTCACTTTTTATACACTAAGCTTCAAAGAGGAAGACTGAAGGAAAGCTTTTGCTATTTTCAGTACTTAAAGCAAAAATCAATCTTGCCTATTTTTCTCTGCCATTTTCTCTTGTTTGTTTATCAGTCTTGTTATAAAATTTATATGTGCATGATGAATTAATACAAGATTTTGTTCAAATCTGGATTTAGTTTTAGTTTACTAAAAAGTCGATATTATTTTATCTGACTTCTTTTTATGAATTTCTATGTAATTTTAAGATAATATTCTTGATAACATTTTTTCTCACTACTAACATTAATCCAGGAGGAAGCACTTTTTTACTTTAAAACAATTTTAAGGGGTCAATTTGAGCTTTCCCCTGTCAAGTAGTTAGCCTGAAAAAGTGAAACCGTTATCATTTTTTACTACTTTCCACAAATGGGAATGTTCTCTACTTATATCATTGCATAGTTAAAAATTTTATTCATACTTCAGCTTTGATATATTTAATCCTTCAGCATTCAATGTGCTCAAACCTGCCCTCATAAATAGGTCTCAAAGTTTGTGGTTTTGTGACTTCCTGTGTTATTTGCAATGATATGGCAGAGTACACATGGGGCAGGTTGAATATGGAGAGCTGATAACTCGCAAAGTTTTATTGAAAAAATTTTTTTTTTTTTTTTTTTTTTTTTTTTTTAAATGTTTTTATTTTATTTCCATAATTTAAAATGATCTCATGTCAAAATTTCTACCTGCACTTTAAAGGAAATATCTGGGAAAATATCAAACTGTATTCTTTCTGGCACACTTAGCAAAAGACCTTCAGAATATAGGTTGTATTAATATGGAAACCCTTGATAAAAGAT